GCCATGACCACTATTTCGCCGTGCTAATTCATAATATCCACAACATCTTGTGAAATATCTATTACTTATTAACATCAATTTATATATCTAAGCTCTAAATATACCTTTCATTAGATACTGGTGACTTTATTCCTATATCAAATATCTCTAACAGTATTACTGAGGTTATAAAAAGCTACACGCACTTGAATCTTTGTCAAGCAATGATCATACAGAAAAACAAAAAGGTAAAACATATAAGTAAGGATTTAATTATGATATCAAATTTCTTGCCAAATTATTTTACGGATAAATTTTCAGAAAATGACGCAGAGCTAGAACGAGAAACAGTCGATACTTCGATAAACAATCCATATGACAGCAGTGATGGTAAATGACTAGGTCATTTGCTCAAATGACTAATGACCTAAAATGACCTTAAAATGACCGGTCATTATGGTCATTCAAATTTTGGAATGACCCATGACCAAATGACACAGGTCATTTCGAGATGACCTGTGTCATTTGGGTCATTTGGGTCATTATGCATAATCGATTAATTATATAAACCAAAATATACCGTATGTGCCCAAAAATAAGCTAAGCAAAAAGTTACACAAAAAATCAGGAGTAGCTTATGTTCGGGTGAAAGAGATTTTTTACCGATCGCAAGTAGTCGCTACATAGTAAAGTCCAAATTTTACTATGTAAATCGATCATAAGCGCTTAAGTAAATATGTTTAAGAGATCAAAAAATATTCTCCGAAATTTTCATACAAATTGGAGAACTTTTTATTATTTAACTTTTAATTTTTACTTTCGTCGAATATATGTTTTTACCAAATTTAATTTTTTCGTCGAACGTAAAAAGTAAAAGTCAAATAATAAAATGTTCTTCAAATTATATAGCATGTGTATTTTGATCTTCCGAATAAGTTTACTTAAGCGGTAATAATCGATTTACATAGTATAATTTGGACTTTATTATGTAGCGACTATTTCGATTGTGGAGTAGCTTATTTTCAGATCAAAGACGTTTTTAAGTTTTTTGACCAAAAGGGGGGTAGCTTATTTTAGGTAGTAGCCTATTTTCGGACACATACAGTACAGTATATTGTGCAATTTTGTGCGAAGCAAGTGACAGAAATTCATTTTAATAAAATCTCATATTAAATTATTTATCTTGCAAAGTATGTACAGTACGTACATAATAATTATAAAAAATTGGTACTTAATTTTGATTGGCTAAATGTACAGTAGATTATTAGTAAACAAATGTCAAATGACATTCTAAGTCATTTAAAGCCCCGAAATGACTAATGACTAGTCACTATTCATTTGAGTCATGTAGGTCATTTCAGGTCATTTACCATCACTGTATGACAGTCACTATGATTTATGTGACTCAATTCCAGGCCTTTACCGTTTATTAGACTTATGTAAAAATAAGGAGTCAAACGGTCTTGGTATATAATTGCATATAATATGAATGCTATCAAGCTAAAACCTATTTTTATACATTTGATAGCTTTAGTGAAAATTACAAATTGCATAAATTATGACTTATGGGTTTTTAGTTATTCTGAAAACTAACTATTTATATTGGACTTGCATATAGTCGGCAGGGCATGAATTTCTCAGCGACATTTAATGAAGCTATGTAACGAAATGGTACCAAACAGCTTTAAATCGATTTCGAACCAGTGTTTAAAATTCAAAAAAAAATTTACGTGCACAAATGTATTTTGTGCATCTTTTTTAAAAATTTTACATGCACACTTAATAGATTTTTAAAAAATTCAAAAAAATCCAAAAAAATTTCGTGCACATGTGCATCTTGTGCATGCC